AGCATCCGAAGTATTTCCCAGAAATCTGGAATATTCCAGGTTTCTAAAACAATAAAGAGTAATCTGCGAATGTTGGCAAATAAAAGTGGAAAATATTTTAATACTTTGCTTGGACGCAACCATGTTTGTTTTAGTGAAAATTCCTGTGAAAAAGACCATTGGAGCAACCCCAACAGTGACGTGCTAACAAATAAAAAGACATCATTTCAAACACGAGTTTCATTAGCGTACTGTTTGTTTTGGTCATTTAGTCGGTTCGTTTATATTATTGTCATTCAAAACTCCACTCCACTGCTTAGGACGGGATGAAACAATTATAAAAATTGGACATTTTGCTTCGCCCGTTTTACGCGAATCTTTTTTCCGTTTTGATGGAATGCAGTTAACTTTATCACCTTGTTTTAATAAATCAAATTGATTACGCCCATTAAAAAGTCTGCTTTAAATAATATCTTTCTTTTCAACTTTGATTTATAAATTTTTATACATTTTACATTTATATCATTCTTTTCGTACTTAATATTAATGACTTTTAGCCTGTTATACTTGTCAACCGGTCTGGCTATGCTAGTAGCGGCAACTCGCGTTGACCTAAACCGTATTGTCCAATAATGTTTTCAACTTTACAAAGTGCAATTTACAATCTGCAAGGTCTGCAGACCTGTATAGAATCTTCTTCTTTAAAAGAAGTGGTAGATCAGCACAAAATCGAAAGGGCAATAAACTAGTTTTATCCGGATATACTTCTATAGAGGTTCAAAACGGCTGTATGTGTGCTTTGTCGATTACAGAAAGGCCTTCGACCGCATCAAACACGGAAAATTGATTGAGGTGCTGAAATAAGTAGGGTTGGACGGACTTGACATAACTATCATAAGTAATACATACTGGAACCACACAGGATGCGTTTGAACAGAGAACGGAACAACCAAACATCAACATAGAATGAGGAGTGCGTCAAACGTGCATTTTGTCCCCCCTATTATTTAATGTATATGCCGAATATATAATTAGAGCTTCTCTTGAAGATCGCCCTGAAGGTGCCAAAGTCAATGATGGAATCATCATTAATAATATAAGATATGCCGACGACACCGTAGTATTAGCAGAAACAGAAGACCAACTAAAAATATTGATGAACATATTATCAGAAGAAAGTCACAGGCTGGGCTTGGACATTAACTTTTCCAAAACCAAAATTCTGGTATTCCACAAAAACCCCCTTGAACAAGTTACACCAAACACAAATAAATGGTTCAGAGAACCCTTCAGAGTTCCCAAAGCTTCATATACCTGGGCATGAGCTAAATAGTCAACTAGATCACTCAAAATAAATTTGAAAATGCATTGAAATAGCAGGATCTGGTTTCATGAATATGCATAAAATGCTCTGTAACCCCAAGCTATTAGTCTCAATAAGATGAAAACACTAAAGTGTTATGTGTGGTCTCTATTACTATATGGCTATGAGACTTGGATATTAAAACAGTATGTCAACAAATTAAATTCATTTGAAATATGGATGTACCGGAGGAGAAGGAGGACTTCTATAGAAGCGAAATGACCTTCTATACAAAAAGTTATGTATGATACTACAGATTAGTATATAGTATAGATACCAAAAGCATGGGGACTCATAAGAGTAGCTTGTATAATCAAACCTTATAAAACTGGAGAGGCAGACTCTGTTTGTCTTCACCAGCTCTTCCTTTCCATACCTTCATTATAAAAGCTGTCTATTTCTTCCTCTGTACTATCAAATGTCAGTGTGTATGCTGTAATGGAGTTTATATTGCATGTCATAGCGTTTAATTTCATAGGTGTAATTTTGTTCGTTATCAGTATAAACTCTTTGACTGATTTTTCGAGTTCTTTGTTGATGAAAATAGCTACCCCATTGCGATTTTGTGGGGTGTTATCTCCAGAGTAATAAAACATATAGTTGTCTATTACACTTCTTTCGCTGTTATGCCATCGAACTGCACTACATCCAAGGATGTCTATCTTCGAGCATTTCATTTCATATATCAGCTTATGAGCTTTTCATTGTTAATATCATCATCATCATCATTCCTCAACCTTTTGCATTCACTGTTGGATATAGGTCTCCTCCATGTTCTTCCACTGTTCTGTATCTTGCGCCTTCTGTATCCAATTTCCGACTGTTTTTCTCAAGTCGTCCATCCATCTTTTTGGTGGTCTGCCTCGGTGTCTTTTGTCTTCTCTAGGTCTCCATTCTATGAGTCTTTTGGTCCACCTATTATCATTTAAACGTGCTATATGTCCAGCACATCTCCATTTGGCTTGTGCAATTTTTTCTATGACATCTGTCACTTTAGTCCTCTCTCTCACTATCATATTTGGTACCATATCTCTTCTAGTTATTCCCAACATTGCTCTTTCTTAGTTATTAGTAGTTATTACTGGCAGTATGCATTGGTTGTAAACCTTTTTCTTCAAGCAAATCGGTAGCGTTCCTTTTAGAATATCTCGCATCTTGCCAAATGCTGCCCATCCCAAGCCTATGCGACGCTGGATCTCACAAGTTTGATTGTCTTTTCCTATTCTAATTTCATGCCCTAAATAGATATAGCTAAAGACCTGATGTACTTCGTTCCCATCTACCCTCATAACATCACTTGGAACTAAATTGGTCATGGATTTTGTTTTTTCAAAGTTTATGTTCAGGCCTATTTGTTCTATTGCCTGTTTTAGTTCTTCCATCATTTTGTGAGCTTCATTTAAACTCTCGGCTATAATGACAATGACATTGTTAATATAGCCTTCATAAATTCCACGTACCTATTCTTTTATGTGTTTTAAGTCGAATTGCAGATTGTATAGGTGTTTTATGACGACCAGAGGGGTTCTGTGATCCTCGTGGTTTATGCCTCTCCTGCCGGATCTCGGACTTCGATTACCGTGATTAGTGTTGTTTACGTTTTTTGTTCTCATTGCCATGATGACTGTTCTTGGGATATCCCACTGACTTTTATGCGGTAGTTTTCCGTTGCTTTCCGCATCTCCACGCTGTTGATTATTCTTGATTTATCCGCCTTTAGAGGTAATTTCGGGGAACTAAATATCTACTAATGACCATGCACCCACAGAAGATAAGTTAGAAGAAGAAAAGGATGAATTTTACGAAAAACTGGAAGAAATAATACGGAACTGCCGTAGAAATGATATAAAATAGTACTTGGAGATTATTTCAACGCTAAAATAAGAAAAAAAAACGATTACCTACCCACCATTGGAAAATATAATGGAACACGCTTAATACACCTTGCGCCCTTAATGAATATGGTGATAGCCAGCAATGCTTCGAGCGTAAAAATGTACACAAAGGCACTTGGGTTAGCCCAGACGCTAACACAATCGATTAAATTGACCATGTTGTTGTGGACGCAAGACATTACAGCGATGTTATAAATGTACGTACCAGACGTGGAGCAAACATTGACTCCAATCACTACCTGGTCTAGGCTAAACTAAGTGCACGAATCTCTAACGCAAAAAAGGTAAAAGAAGCAAAGAAGATACATTCGAGGTGGACAGACTACGAAACCCTGAGATAGTTAGAAAGTTTGAACACAAACTTAAAGAAAAACTAGAAGGCCAAATGAGTAGTACTGTCGAAAACATAGATAATTACTGGAATGAGTGCGAAAATGTCCTGAAAGAAGTAGCAACAACAGTTTTAGGAAAGAAGAAACAAGAAAGGAAGGGGACAGAATGGTACGATGCGGAATGTGCCCAGGCAACTCAAAACAAGAATCAGGCGTATGGGAAACTTCAAAACAGAAGGACAAGACGCTAACAAGACGAGCAAACGCGCTAAAAAATACATAATAAAACCTGTTGCATCCATTTGGAGAGAAGGAAACTCGCAGACAGTTGGAATATAGGTATTATAATATCTATTCACAAGAAAGGGGATCCACTAATAGTTGACAACTATCGAGGTATTACCCTCTTACATACGGCTTACAAAGTACTGGCTTATATACTTTATGATCATTTACTAGTATATACGGGGGAAAAATAGGTGGATTCCGAAAAGAAAGGTCAACAATTGATCAGAATTTCCTTATCAGACAAACCTTAGAAAAGACATCTGAATATGGAATTGATACCCGCCACCTCGTCATAGATTTTAAAAGCGCTTATGACAGTGTAGACAGAAGCTTACTTTATAATCCTATGGCAGAACTAGATATTCCGTCGCATCTAATAACATTGGTAAAGGCAACTCTTTCGAAAGTTGAGTGCAAAGTCAGGGTACAATACAGCATAGATTTAAAACAAGATATAGATTTAAAACTCAAGTCGAAGATGATTTGAGGAATCTAGGGATCCGAAATTGGAAAGCCAGGGCGAAAGATAGGGGAAAATGGAGACTCTTGAACAGGCCAAGGCCAACCCAGGGTTGAAAAGTCAAAGATGAGTCAAAGTATTCTCTTGCTTTCTGCAGCTTCATAGCTGATGGAATAAAATTATTAAAGCGGATATTAAAGATGTCAAAAACCTCTTTAGCATCATTGAACCTTTAAACATACTGGTGAAGATGATTTTAGTTTCAGTGGTACATACACAAGTTTTTTCATTACACAAAATATAAATATTGATGTGTATAGTGGTTTCAGCGCTCGTAACAGATATCAAGTCGACATAATTTCTTTTCTTTATGGTACAATAACTTCCTGTTAGTAACGTGTATAATTTAAAGTGAAATTTTGTATAAAAGCGATTTTCCATTTAAGTATTCTTTAAGAAGTGTAATTACTTGGCTATCGATTTCTAAATAAAATTTTCATGAAACACTAAAACAGTTTCCTTACAATTTATAAACAGACGCCTTCATGAATTGATTATAAAAACCGCAAAGAAACAGAACCTTTTAGTTCTATTTATCCGATTCCATTATTTATTTTACAACGATTGCTCTTTTCTTTTTTTCACGAACCATAAGAACTTAAATTGAAAAACGGTATTTATAGTCCGGTTCAGCGGAGTAATGAAACAATTTGTTGACATTTTAGCAACCACTACAACTACAACGAGTCGACCTAGTCCACCATGGCTTATAACGTCCCAGCCACCAATGTGGAGTACCATCAAAGCGCCATCTAGTAGACCAACCCATCCAACGCCTCCTCCAAAGCCAGCAGTTATTTCGCTGCCACAAACACCAGGTAAGCTTTTTAACTAAATAATATTAAGTAGCCCCTAGTATGAAATCTAAAAAGATGTCTTCGTTATATATATATATATATATATATATATATATATATATATATATATGTGTGTGTGTGTGTGTGTTCAAATGTTCTCAATTTGTGAGTTGACAGCACCCTAATCGATGGTAGAAGGCGTCTACCACATTTCTCCATGATTGTCTAGAAATTATTCGAGATTCATCGATAATTCATTGACTTAGCTATGCAAGACTTGCTGGTTAAGTTTTGTAAACTGAATTTTTCAAGTATCTCTAATAAAAATAATCTTTAGGATTGAGATCGGGTGAACGTGGAGGCCATTCAATTCTACCTTGTCTACCAATTTATCGTCCGGGAAATATCTCATCTAAATAACGCCGAACATTTACACCAACTATCTGACGTTAATTTCTTTCGATAAAAAATAGCCCAATAAATAAGTACCTACTATAACTGACCATACATTTAATTTTTGTGGTCTTTGAGTATGGTTTTCATGCATTCAGTGTGAATTTCACACGAGTTCAGCTATTCAATACGAGTTCAACCATATGTTCACTTGATTTTATGTAGTCTGAAAGATCTTAAATACATAAAACAGTGCAAAATATGTAGATTTTAATAAATTTAAATATTTAAATGGAGAATGCTGTGATTTTGACATTTGTTTACCATTTAAATTATGAACTAAAATTATGACAGTAGTTGTGGTTCAAAAAGTTCTGCAATTTAAATTGCTTCTCTAAAATGCCGTTCTCTAAATCGTTCTCCTATTCATAAGACGACGGTACAAAAAACTATAAGGCGATTTAAGGAATCTGGAAAAGTAAAAGATAGTTACCGATCAGGTTGACCGAAACGAGTTATCAATGACAACAAAACTTCAGATATAAGCACAGTTTTGTTGAAGATCCACATACATCCCCAGGCAGGGTTGCACAGGTACATGATGTAGGTCATTCTTCAGTCTTACGTTTATTACGTAAACATAAATTTAAATCATACAAAATTAACTTATTGCAAGAATTAAGTGAAAATGACTTTGGTCGTAGATTAGAGTTTACTGAGGTAATGACGGATAAAATTGAAAATTATTAAAATTTCGTTAACAGAATATGTTTTTCCGATGAAGCAACTTTTACACTGTGTGGAAGTGTAAATCGACACAATTTAAGGTAATGGTGTGACGTAAATTCACACTGAAGACTGAATGCGTGAAAACCATACTCAAAGACCACAAAAATTAAATGTATGGTCAGATATAGTAGTTACTTATTCAATTGGGTAATTTTTTGTCGAAAGAAATTTAACGTCAGATAGTTGGTGTAAATGTTCGGCGATATTTAGATGAGATATTTCCTGGACGATAAATTGGTAGACAAGGTAGAATTGAATTGCCTCCACGTTCACCCGATTTCAATCCTAAAGATTATTTTTATTAGGGATACTTGAAAAATTCAGTTTACAAAACTTAACCAGCAAGTCTTGCAGAGCTAAGGCAACGAATTATCAATGAATCTCGAATAATTTCTAGAGAATCATGGAGAAATGTGGTAGTCGCCTTCTACCATCGATTAGGGTGCTGTCAACTCACAAATTGAGTACATTTTGAACACTTAATAACGTAACTACTATGTTAAAAAATGTTCTAAACTATCAATTGTTACGTTTTAATGTATTTGAAAATAGTTAGTATTAAAAAAATTATTGAAACAATTTAGGCGTTGCCAGACTTCGGTTTTATGTATTTATGACCTTCCAGATCACATAAAATCACAAGTGTTACATATGGTTGAACTCGTATTGAATAGGAGATTCCAATAATGACTGAATATACAGGGTGATATATTTGAAAAACCAAAGTTACTAATAATATAAGAAAAACGGCAAATATGGCAACATTGTAAATATCAAATATGGAATCTCCGTATCCCAAAATAGGCGTACCTCAAATTTTGTACGACTATGATTAACATTTTACGAGATAATTAGCCGTTTCCAGACTTTTGGGCAACTCTGTATAATGGTGGCTAGACTTATCATTACTTAGTTGCGCTGGTTTGATTGAATAAAACAACGCAACAAAAGGAAAAAATAGTTGTGCCCTATTGGATGCTGCAGCGATTCAGGTGACAGGTGCATTTGGAGGCGATGAATAACTAAGGGAGCGTAAGGGAGAGTAAGGGAGCGCTAAAAACATAAAAGAAAGAAGAGAAGATTTAGAAAAATTGATTTATATATTTCAGGACGTAGGATCAGTTAAATCTCTAACTTAAATTGGAGTATGTGCAATCGTGCACTACTACTGTTCACTCAATTGCCGGCATTTCCGTTCCAAAATACATGAGCACTACGAACATTGCTGCAGGAAGGGAAATGCCACTCGTGCGATTGGTTACTCCAAATAATATGTGCTATGTGCTATCTGTGAATAAATCTTGAATGGAATTTTTCTGCAAAAGCAAGCTTAATATTTAAGTGTAACTAGAATCCTAACCTCTGTTTTACCCTATTTATCGTTACCTCCTGGTAGTGAACTACTCCAGTTTGTTGAAAAAACCCATTCATAATTTTGAGAGACATTGTTTCACAAAAATCTATAATTTTAAACATATGATAATTTAAATTTGTTATTTTATTGTAGGTCCATCCACTTCAAGAACGAAATCTACATCAACGACGCGTTATTTTTCAGTGACGCCACCGCCACAGCTACCTGTACAGCCACACAATACAGGAGAGTTTGACGAGGATGAAAAACTGTATCACATTCCAGATGAAATTACTACACTTCCATTTACTACAGTCACTCCTATTGGGGCTGAATCTAATAAACCTACCTGTAAGTTATTTGGATATTTTTTCTTTATTTAACTATATACGAACCTTAGAAACTAACCTAAAATTGGTTACGTTAATTATTATCGAGACCATTAAATTAATTTGGGCATTGCTGTCTTGAATGTAATTCAACTCAAAACAAGAAATTAAATTGCATAGTTGATATAAACTTAAGCATCAGCAAGTAAATTGTTTTTATTTCAAGTTGGAAACTTGATGAGAATAAACTGATGTAAAACTTCTTATGAGTAAAAACATACACGTCGATATTCCTGTTATCCTGCACATTTATCCAACATAAAGATGACATGAAACTAACACTGAAAATTTAATTAATGACAAACACAGAAAACTAAGAATTTCTAGTGAAACCGTTTCTATTAAAACTTTAAGTTTGAACGATTTTTACGGTTAATAAAAACAAATTGCTTAAGATAAAACTTTAATCTTCTATACTTTGTGTACACTATGTTAGAACATGTAAAATCTTAAAGAGCGCTTAGAGAAATAAAAATTTATGTTAAAAAACCGGCAAATTTTTTTTCGATATTCCTATGAGCAGGAACACTACAGGGAAAATTAACTCAGAGTTGACAGAACAAAAAGAAACCTACGTTAATCAAAATAGTAACAGATTCATCTCAAAATTTTCCACCTGCAACTGAATGTTTTTGCGAGATTTTTTAAAAACAAAAAACGAGAAACACTCATTTTAAAAAACCGTCAACCCACACAGGGACAACACACAATTAAATAAAACACAATAAAAAACATCAAATCGAATGGGGGAAGAGTTATTTCACAGATACAGATAGGAAACAGACAAAGGTAAACCCCAAACAATCAGCTACACACACACAACTTTTGATTAAATGTTGAGCAAGATTGAGATCCTTCAAAGAACATAATACAGTCATCACCCGTTTATCAATGCAAAAAATAAAAGTGTAGTTTCACCTAAAGCTTTAATTTACAATTTTCAATGCGTACTTACATTTTTACACTTTTTGAAAGTAGTCTGTCACTTGTTTCTGCATTCACTTGACACAAGGCCGTTTTGTGGCCATTCGGCTGTGAGTCATTCATCCACCACGTACAAGCTTTTGTTCTTCTTCATCACTTTCCTCGTTTTCTCCTCGCCATTTTCTTAGGATGCCTTTATCCGTTAAATTCTCAAATTCCAGGTCGGTAGCGTCACAGTCTACTATTGCAGGTTTGTTGCGTCCAAATTCTCTCCCCCAGGAGCTGATTTCATTAAACTTGTAAGGACAGGCAGTTCATTTTCATCTTCTCCAACTGCTAGTTCGACACAATTTTCCAAGTTTCGTAACCATTTTCTCCATGACTTTACAATTGTTGAAGACTTTACAGACTCCCATGCCAATAGGATTTTGTAAATAGAGTCGAGAATACTGAATGGCTTCCAAAAGTGTTGATTTTTATCTTCAATTTTTGACAAAGAAACTTTGTTTTGTAGTTTCCCTACATAGAAGCAATGACGCAGTTTGGGGGCATAAATTTGGCAAATATTTTTCGCTCAACAGACTTAGGCATATGCTTTTCAGGGTGTCAAGGGTCGTTGTCAATCGACAACACAGTTTTTATAGCAAATTGTTTGTTTTTTTGCATCTTTCCTTTGGTTGAAGTAATCAACAGATAGTTTTATGTTCTAGTGCACTTAAAAAATCAAGCTTTTTGCCGTGCCAATCAGCGTCTTCAGTTTGTAACTTCCTGTGGCTTTGCTGCAACACATCGTGATCCGTTCTTTGTTGGATTTATGGCCCCCTGCTTTACCTTCACTTGCAAAACCTAGCGTCCGAGTTCGAAGGCATTTCCACAAGAGGCACAATTCATCTGCGTTTTAAATTTGTTCGTAGTTCAGATCATTTCAAGAAAGGAACTCTTCGAACTCACTTTTAAAATTTCTCAGCTCTCTGTTGGTCACAGCTGAACTTCTGTCCATAAAGTCCTATCTCCTGTATCCCATCGCGTTGATTAAAGCGAGTTAATGGTGCCAACCAGATGATGCATCAAAATCCCCTTCTAAGCTTAAGACGCCAAAAAAACTGTTTTGCTTTTACAACAATTATTGGACTTAATATGAGTGTATCCATGTTACTAACTTGGGCTATCCATTCTACCAACGCCGTCTCTAATTTTTTTTTCAACACAATTTTTTTTTCTTCTCTCGGACATGGTAACAAAACAATAAAAATGCACTATAGCTCAAAATAAAACACTACCACACAACAACGGCCAACTAAACGATTTGCGAACTAATACAAGCAAGTTACCAGCCCTATTTCACCACTATGCGGCAGTCATAGTTAAGGTTTTTATTTCACCACGCAGCAGACAAACAACTCTATCGTCTTTTATAACAACGAAACGATTTCTTATCCTTTTATAACAAAGAAATAATGAAATTAGTAAATCGTCTTTGTTGGTTACTTTCCATTGCAACAATAGAATATTATATTTCTGCTTATAATAATAAATTACTATGTTAAATACAAAAAAAAATAGAGAGGTTACAATAAACAAAATCTAAAAAATAAAATAAATATTTGAAGGTAAAAAAATGTAACGACGTCTATATAGCCTTACACCTTTATCAGACTTATCACTATTTTTTTACTTTTATTTTTTTTGCAGACGATGTCATGTATACTTCAGTACCCAGCATACTACCGTCCTGGGGCAAGGATTCTGAGGGCATACCTTACCATTGCAGCCCCCAAACGGTTCGTAGTATATACTGGAATTGGACAAAGGTTAACGCCACCTCCATCCAGCCATGTCCAGGAGGCACTACAGGATTCGCGAAATGGCATTGCCAGGCGTTTCCAAATTCCAAAGAACCACAGTGGTATCCGCCGAATCCAGACCTCAGCGAATGTAGGTCGGTTTGGTTAACTAGCCTAGAACAAAGAATTATTGTTGGTAGAGACCCTTTGTTGTCGATAACCAATGACTTAGCTCAAGTAACTAGCAGCAAAACACTATTTGGTGGTGATATGATGTTCACAACGAAGATCATACAGAAATTAACCGAAAAAATGAGCAAAGATATTCAAACATTCCCTGATGCTGCACAAAGAGAACAATTCGTCACAGAATTACTTTCAGACGTAGCCCTTACCGGCAGTAACTTGTTAGATGCTTCTCAACGCTCATCTTGGAAAGATCTGAGTTATAAAGAACAAATGAATGTTGCTACTTCATTGCTCATTGAGCTAGAAGAAAACGCTTTTCTTCTTGCTGAAACTGTAAACAATAAAAAGACTGTAGATCGACATTTCAAAAATATACGTAAGTATTTAGGAATAATAATTTTAATTTAATATTTATTTGCACAAAAAATATTTACAAATTATAATTACCTTTTCAGTGTTATCCGTTAGAGTCCTAGATGTAAAATCTTTATCTTATGAAGTATTCCCCGAAGGAGCAACAAAAAAGCACTGGAAAGTGAGCAATGACATTATAGAATTACCTAGAGGAGCTTTAATAGAGAATAGCGATGGTTCTTTAGTTCGACTAGTCTTCGTAGCATTTGATCGTCTAGAGGAAATCTTGCAATGGCAGCCAGAAGGGATCGACACCCCAAATCCTAGCAACAATGTGTCCAAAGTATTAAATAGCAAAGTGATATCAGCAAGTTTGGGCAAAGGTAGACATATCCAGCTAAAAGAACCCGTGAAACTTACCTTGCAGCATTTAAAAACTGAAAACGTCAGCAACCCAACGTGTGTGTTTTGGGATTACACCACCAACGCTTGGTCCGAAGAGGGGTGCTATGTGGACTATATATCCTCAAATTTAACTCATACTACATGTTACTGTGATCATTTAACTAATTTTGCTATACTTATGGACGTTCATGCGATTTACCTACCAATGGCGCATGAAATTGCTCTACAAGTTATAACATATGTTGGTTGTATAATATCCATCATCTGTTTAGTGTTGGCAATCATTACGTTCCAGTTATTTAGAGGACTCAAGGTAATTGCTTTTGGTATAATTACGTTTTTATTTATGAATTTTCATGCTGCATTTCAAATTTATTAATATAATACATCACTCGTTTTGTAGTGGCTTAAAGAGAGTGGTACAAAATGATAATCTGCATAATTTACATAACCTAACTTACCCAACGAAGTTATGGTATCCATTGTGCATCTTGGCTTATTCCGGACTTAGTTTCTGTTCCGTCCTATTATGTGCCTGGAATTTTTCCGTTTGCACTACCAATTACTTATGGTTGATGTGGAATGCTCAGAAATTTGATTTTATATAAAAAAACCTTGTTTGTATCTGTACCTGGATATTTCTTTGGTGGAGTACTGTTTCGGTGTGTTCTGAAACACAAATGATAGAAACTGCTCACAAAGATAACATTAAAGAAAACATTATTTTCATACTGTTATTGCAAAAAAATCTATGAAATACACAAATTGAATAACTTTTAAATTAATCGATGGACGATCTGAAATTTTGAGTGTCTGTTACACACTGCAACACTGTACATGACGCAATATTAAAGGTTATGGTATATCTTGACAATGCGTTTGCTTTGTTTTGTTGTTTGCAGAGGAACATATTAATGTTACAACTTTTAGATTACATTATTTTGATTCTTTTTAATATTTTAGAAGATTAAATATTCGAAAAATTTTATTTTTCGCACTTAATTGTTAATAACTGAAAAACAACAACAAATTGTCTGAAGGAAACCGGAATGTTTTCTTTCTATGGGTATAAAGTACTTACTAGATACCTGGATTATTCCAAAGTCCCAAAAAACTTATGTACTGGATTAAGATGGCAGGTATTGCGCAGCCAATGATGAGATCAACTTTGAAAATAAGGCTATTATCGAGCACAAGTTAATTAAATCTAGCCCAAGTACTTTCGCTTAAAATAGCATCTTCAGGGACATCTGAAATAAGCCAAGAAAACGTTTTTTAGATGAAGTAAATTAGTTAACTTCGATAAAAAACTCGAAGTTAATGGATGAAAAAAAGTTTTTGAGATTAACGTTTTAGACTTACTTCGTCAAAATAAGACCTATCCGGCAAGCGTAGGATGTGGAAACATTAAAAATAACATAAATTGTACAAAACACTACACTAAAACGAGGACAAACAGTTTAAAATTACTTCTACGCTACTGTAAATGTCATTTACACACTGCTTTCAATTCTGATCTAATTTTAATATTTCAATTTTATAGTCAATTTTCTTCTCATTTTGCAATATTGACAGTGCAAGGTAGACCATTTTATTGTAGTCAACTACCCACTGTCCAATAGATCGTTTGGTCTATTTCTTTCATTCACACTTTATGTACACTTCATTTAGCCTCAAACCTACAACCTTATTATTACAGACGGGTGTGAGTGTGAGATCTGGATTATGCAATCTAGTTTAAATCAAAATATTCTACATGTCATATGTCATCAGCTGATTTTTCAGTAGTAGTTCTAGTTGGACCTTTGGCCAATGACAACTTATACAGAATTTCAATATTTGCTGATCACAGATCCATAACTTTGACTGCCTGTCAAAGTTGTCATATGTCATATGTCACCGTATCATTTCCGCTTAGATCATTATCCCTCCAGAAACTGACAGAGAATGTAGCGTAGAAGTAATTTTAAACTGTTTGTCCTCGTTTTAGTGTAGTGTTTTGTACAATTTATGTTATTTTTAATGTTTCCACATCCTACGCTTGCCGGATAGGTCTTATTTTGACGAAGTAAGTCTAAAACGTTAATCTCAAAAACTTTTTTTCATCCATTAACTTCGAGTTTTTTATCGAAGTTAACTAATTTACTTCATCTAAAAAACGTTTTCTTGGCTTATTTCAGATGCCCCTGAAGATGATATTTTAAGCGAAAGTACTTGGGCTAGATTTAATTAACTTGTGCTCGATAATAGCCTTATTTTCAAAGTTCATTTATTCGAGCATTCAACCTCATTTCATTTAATGATGAGATCGTACAAACGCCCGTATCGTTGCACTTTGTCGCATCTAGGTCCTCATTCATAACAGAAAAAATTTAATTTAGTTTTAGTTTGACAAAAATTACCTCTCAATATAAAGTTCACTATAGAAGATTATGATTTGAATGCAGACACCAACGCAATTACACTACTTGATTCTAATTGATTTGTATCGAAACTATAATAATTATTTTCTTTTTTTAGAGTGATCGTACGACAATCCATTGTAATTTATGTATATGCCTTTTAATAGCCGAAGTGATATTTTTGTTCGGAATTAGTCAGACTGAGAATAGGATTGTATGTGGAGTAATTGCTGGATTCCTGCAATACTTCTTTTTATGCGCCTTCTTCTGGATGTTCTTCGAAGGTAAATATAAATATGTTAAGGCAATGTTTTCGTACATCTCTGGTGTCTTTATACATGATATATGTAATTTAATTTTATGATTATCTTCCTGACCATCTTTGAGTGAAGACTTTTTGTAAATAAAAAAAACTACTGTAATAGAACCAGCATTTAGAAGTATAGTAGTTTTATTTTCATTCATTTTTACAAATTATCGTAAAGCTAGTAATACACAGAGAAATATTTTTTTTTTATTAAACATTTTAAATAAACTCTCATGAAAATTAAAACTGGTGTGGACTGTAAATTATCTTTTTGTGAATAAATAGAGTTACATTTATTAACTTTTTACAAACTACTTAATGTCAATGTCAATATTATGTCACTTGCCGACTTGATCCCGTCAGATTGTCTGTTGGAACACAAAACGCACGGACATGTGACAGGCTCTATGTTGCCACACTAAACTAATTTTCTTATTAAACTGTATTTGGTATGAAAATGTCCTAACAGGAACCCATAATGTTTCTTGTAAATATACCATTGTTATTCATTGTAATTAATTCTTAAAATATTAAACAACGTTTCTTTGTTTGCTTTTAGGTTTTCAACTGTATGTTATGCTTATAGAAGTTTTCGAAGTTGAGAAGTCTAGGATGCGCTGGTATTATTGTATAGCTTATGGTCTTCCTTTTGTTATAATATTTATTTCCGCTGTAATATATCCTCAAGGATATGGCACTTACAGGCACTGTTGGTTGCAGACTGACAACTACTTCATATTTAGTTTCGTTGTACCGGTAGCAGTTATCATATCGGTAAGTTTATAAGCATTTATTTAATTTCAGTATAATTTTTTATTGGTAAACTGAGTTCATCCTACTGCCCTTGGTGTGTAGTCCCTTAATAAACTAGTAGGAGTTGAATTGTGAATCTTGGAAGACCTCACTACATTGAGCCTAGCTTGACTCATACCTTCTCTTTTAGTCCAAGAGGCTAGGAACGGCATTCTGTGGTACCAAACAATATCTAAAGTGAACAAACAACTCATATACAACACCATACTTAAAAGTGTAATTACATGTGGCAGTGAAGTTTGGCCAATGAAACAAAGAACATAGAAACTGCTACTAGCAACAGAAATGTACTTCTGGAGAAGAGCAGCAGGCAAATCAAGAAGAGATCGGATACCTAATGAGAGAATACGAGAATTGATGGGAGTCAAGCATACAATAGTTGATGACATAAAAACAAAACAGCTAATATGATACGGCCATGTACAGAGAATGCCAGATGACAGGATTCAGATTTTGACGTGGACACCACAAGGGAGAAGGAAAAGAGGAAGGCCGAGAAGAAGCTGGAGAGAGGGAATTGAAAAAGAATTAGAGGAAAGAGAAATCCCTCCAGGCCTATGGTTAAATAGAGAAGAATGGCAGTTAGGAGTCGGAAGGCGTCGAAGAACGCTGTAACCCGATAGTAGTAGTAGTAGTAGGCTAGGAACCTATGCAAGAGAAGCTCCTTGAGAGACTACCCTGGCTAGAACTGAAGGGCACTCCATCACACGTTTGTGTCCAAGAATGCCCAAAAAGATATCGGCCAGCTCGTTCTCCTCTATACGTGGGCATTCTGGTATCCATATCAAGTTAACCTTTTTGGCGAACGCAGCGGAGCTAGACCCTTCAAATTTTAGAACCAGCTCTAGGTTTTTATAAGAGCCGAAAGCCGACTTTAACGGAGCAGTGCTGATTTTCGTTCTACCCACTTATCACGGCTAGGAATGTAAACCTAGAAGATGGGTGTAAACTCAAAGTGATGGGCTATGCTGTCCTGTACCATGGAAAGCACTGGACAGTATTAGACGCTCCAATCACTGCCCAGGGCAGTTAAGCCAGTAGATGTCGCTGTAGTCCGGTAGCTGCTGGAGATTAGCCACGTGGGCAGGATCAGTCTAACCTAGCGATGGAAAAGAAAAGATAAAAAAATTGTGTATAAATTATCTTTTGAATGTAAAAAAAAATATTTTGATGAAACCTCAAAACTTCCTTTGCCCTTCTCGTTCTTAATAAATATGTTTATTTGTAGTTAAATGTAATATTCCTAATAATGGCCATAGTAATGATGTGTAAACACTCCAGTAATACAGTTTCCATGAAAAACAAGGAGCATTCCCGACTTGCAAGTACCAGGTAAGTTACATTTGATTTTATTTCACTTAGAGGTAGTTCACTACGTAATATTTTACTTTTCAAGTACGAGACAAGTAGATTGACTCATGTGTGTATCTCCCATTACCTAGTTAAAAATTTAACAATGTTTACATTGCATGTAGTCTTAGTGTTCAACAGTTAAAAACGTTGCATTTATGGAATTGAAAGATCTGTTGATTTATTTTTATGTATTTTTTTTTTACTTATCACTATAATTATTCCTCAAAACAAAAAATTTACACTTCATCTGTTTTCTATAATACAACAAGGAATCTAATGTTAAATAATATTGTGATGAAATAAGTATCTTCTATTGGGAGATAATTAATATCACCTTCATTCGTCACCAGCGAGTAATATACTGGTAACAGCACCAGCACCTACAAAAAGTAAGAAAACCACTTTCTCGAGTCAAATAGATCGTGCATCACCATGCTTCGTCATCGTCATTATTCGTCATCGATGGATATCATAAGTAACTGCATGTCTCTAGTTTGGTATTTAGATTTTAATTAGAGAAATGTATAGAAAAACAAAGCAAGGAACAGAACAGAATGGCGGAAAATCCTAGAACAAGCCAGGACCCAGAAAGGTTTGTCGAGCTACTGATGATGATGATAGAAAGGATGTAAGGCGTTTCTACGGGTCTGTAGTTAACGCAAATTTTCGCTGTCTGGCTTTAAATCGTCGATCAATCTCATGAGCTCCTCCCATATAACTCCATAGTGGACCATATATCATCTGCTCATAGATAGTAGATTTCAAAGGGATTGTTAGGCCTCGCAGACTTCTTCACTTTTCGACCTAAAAAGACCTTTTTTGTATATCCCACGTGCATATTTTTGAGTGTCGCAGATGCTGTAGGGCGAACTTTCAAAGTCTTGATTCAACAGGTATTTAAACCTTTTCGTAGCTGCCATGCTTTTACCTGCTCACTAGCCTTTTTGGCCATTTTCGGTATTTGCTGAGGTTCATAGCGGTTTTCCTGATCTCTTTTCAGTAGTTTTTTCATTTTCGAAAGTATGGCTGTAATGGGATCATATTTTATAGTTTCCAGATGAATGATGCTACGTCGATACTGATTTTTTGTTTATTCCTGGACTATTCTTATCCTAGGGAATAGGTGGATCACTCCTAGAGTCCTTGATGCCGCTTGAAGGCACGACACAGTAACGAAGTTACCTAATTTCTTTCAACCTTCAGTCCCACAGTTCCACCACTCTGGTAAAGACTTTCTCATCAAATTTTTAGATCTTTTTTGTATTATCTCTCAGAATTACTTATTCGGAATATTACAGATGATTCAGAGCATTGAATTTACTACATTATTCTCCACTTAGGTGTTAGAATATACCAACTCCAAGATATTGTACCTCTTTTTCGTTGTTCTGCCACAAAATAACTTTTAACCATATGAATCATCATCTTCTTGTTACCTTAGGCAAGACACTACTTAGTGTCCCAGTCTCTAATTACTCAGCGCTTCATTCTATTTTTTATAAAGACGGTCTGTGTCAGCTAAGGATCCCCACATTTAGTTTTAGGAAGTTTTTATACTTTAACAGCTTTCCTTAACATCTCTTATATCGAGGAGCAGATGGTGCTTCATCGATAAGTTTTATTAGGAGATCTGTGAACCCTATTTCATTTTTGAACACCCGAAAACTTCTTATGGATCACTGCTATCTTGATTTTTTTGGGGAGGAGGTTGTATGTTTGCTCTTTTTTGTAATTTTATCGTCGGGAGAGTACTTTTGATGGACACAATCCACTTAGCACTCTGGGTCACGTTGGTTCTCTTTAGAGAAGTAGTTTTTTGTCAAAAGTTATATCATCCTTTAACGTTGACTTCTTTTCCCGATATTTTGGGGTTCTGTTCCTTGGTGTTTTGAGAATCCCTTTTGAAAGTAGTTTTTTACATTGTGACATATTGTGGAGAGTGGTAATGCTTAACTAGTCTGCTGGAGAACCTCCAACACACACCTTTATTTTTGTCGATGTTCTCCGTCTCAGGGATAATGTAGAAATAAAGGGTTCGTACCTAAAAAGCTCCCTATGTATAGTACTTATAAGGTCTTAATATGAAGTAGACCGATTTTGACAGTCCTTTTTAGACACACAATGGCCACGCAGATTTGGCACAATATGCGTTTCCCTTGTCTGTTGTTATCCTCTTGCTCCACTGGCAGCACACTAACGCTATCACGACGTTAAAATGGAACAGTGTGATGGGCCGTATAAGTTATTCTACATACTTTCCATTTTTTAGCTACTCTAAACTCAATTCGTGCCACTCTATAGCTAACAAGATTTTAAAAAATCAATGAACATCTCATTAAAAAGATTTAACCAATAAACCGATGAATTTTCGAATATAGTGGAAGAATTTCAGCAGTCACATTGCACGTTTGCTTTGATTCCCATTAAGTGACATATCTTGCTACATCTCTAACTTCATTAATGGTGCAGTAGCAAAGACGGATCCTTAATCACAATAACTACTCAATAGAGCCAACGTAATAGTGGAATACAAGAATATTTTATAGCTCATTTTGAGTCAATAACGTACAAATTTAGCAGAAGACACACATACAATACACGGCATGAATTTTATAGATATATATTAGTCTAATGTTTCAAAGGCGGTTCGGTGTTTGTGAAATTACTCTTGTAAAATAAAAGTATTCGTTAACAATAAGTAACGACTTATTCGTTGTTACTGTAACAATTTATCATTTTACAATTATATGATTGCAACAAATATTGACAACCGCTTTTGATATTTCTAATATTGGGTATGGTTTTACACAATAATATATTACCACATTGGAGTAAATTGTACAGTGTATACTTTAAATAATTAAGACGAATGAAGTTTGTTTTAGAAAACTGCATATTTTATATAATCATTAATTATAACATACTTCACAACTTAGCCCTTTCAATGAGCTTCGAAAAGTTTAGTCTTTATTAGACCTGACTGTTAAAGTCGGCGCTATGTCGATGATTAAAGCTTTTAAACTAGATTATAGTTTCGTTCCATCATAAACTTTCTGTTTTTATGAAATTTGTAGATTTTTAATTTATAAATTATATATTTATAAAGATTTAATCTCATAAAGTGTTGGCTGAGATCGTCTTGTCCTATAACGACGAAAACTATTGTCTTGTCTGTAAAAGGTTTACGAATCCGAAGCAAAAATAATTGTACGCCACAATTTACTAAACGAAAACATCGATCAGAAAACTTTGGATGGGTGTAGACGTCAGGGCATTGTGCCAACTCTAAATTATTATTAGGACTGTAAGGAAAACTTACAAGTAGATAACTTATGTACTAATATTTGCATCATTATGCAATGAATTAGCGGAGAAGCTGACAAGAAATCTAGTTTTTTGCCGATATTAGCAGGTGTCCAAATATTGACAAAATTCGAATAAAGAGCAAATATTAAAACGGCGGATGTATCAGATAAGTTTTTGTACCTCAAACTTTCGTAAATGTGTCCAATCAAAAGTACAACGTTCTGATTAGTAATAAAATAAAATAAAGCTATGCTTAAAAAGTAAAGTATCAGTATAATTTGCTCCAATTTGTAAATATCGTGTGGTTCGGTATTAATTCTAATACTATCTTTCTCTCTCTTGCATGGCGATCTTATCCTATGGTAGTGGAAAGGAGGAAAATGCACTTCATATCAAAATAAAAGCTCATTTGTAAGAATTTTCTTTATTGTATTTAATTTTTGTTAGTAGTTTAATTTTAGTGCACGTTTAGGTAGTGTAGGCTTTTAGATATTAGTGCAAAGACTATAAAAACAATATAATTATCTTAAAAGTATATACTCTTCATATTTTAAGACTGTCCGTCTGATACAGAGGTGGCAAAATAGTTCTACTTTAAGTTTTCTGACCGTTTTTTAGAGTGGATGTAAGAATTTTACTTGTTTATATACTTCTAGTTTAATAAAGCAAAGCAGAAACTTTTATGAACGTATTTAACCAATAATTGTTTGGCCAAAAAGGTCTTGAACCTAAGGCCAAAAAAAATCTATGAACATTACCACAGCAATTAGCAAGCAGAACATCGTAATAAACATTAAATAACACCAAAGACACCAAAGCTTAGAACTTCAAACAGTCCCTTAACTTGCTGTTAGTTTGTTATTGCTGCAATTCCTTCTTGCAACGGCGTTAGAGTTTAAAATGAGCCTCCTTCTTAGAATGTCGTCTCCCTATGGAGATGGGCAGTTCTAGTTCTCTCTAGTCTTTCTTTTCTTTAATAGATTATCACTGGAAGTCGCAGATTTTTTATTTTTGTTGAAAAGGTCTTTTTTGTGTTTACCTTCTTGTTTCTCTTGGCACTGCCGTTCTTCGGCCTCTAGTTCAGCCTTGTATGGTTTGATGTTAATATAACAGTTTTGCCTTTCCTCTTGTTACTATTCCTTTTTAAACGTTCCTTTTCTTGGGGTGGGGGCATCAAAATTTTTGGTGAAAGCGGAAAAGCTGATTTGGGTGACGTAGATCCACCTGTTGAAGTAGAGGGCTCAAGAGAAGTTTCTTTATAAGCCTAAGGAGAAGCGTCGTTAGAAAGCATAGTTCCACTTGAAAAAGTAAAATGTTTTGTTCTATTGTTTGTGGTGTTAATAGTAGTGGCGCATGATATCTGCTGCTCAGAATTGTAGTTTGGTTGTTCTGTAGTATCTGACGGGACAAACACGTAATCAGGAAATACATCTGTATTGAAAGGACATATTCCTGTTTTGTCAAATCCCTTCACTACAGTTTAAACATTAACTGCTCTTGAAAAAGCAACATTCACTAGTTGTCCAATTTGATAAATTGTAATACCTTTACCAGAGTGATTAAGCAATCATTTTTTTAACCTCTTGTGCATAAATGAGACATCTATCGGTTGTAATCTATGTGTGGTGGAAAACATGATAATGTAACGTTATTTTCCCGATCAAGATGAAGGAATTCAAAACTTTTGGTATGGAACTGTGACCATCAAGAATAAGCAGACTGGTTTTTGAGGTCCGGGATTAGAAAACTCAATAAACTTTTTAAACCATACAATAAAGTTTTCTTTGGTAATCCAACCAGTCACATAATACACTGCAGATGTTCCTGGTGGGGCACCACCTCGTTCTGCTGAGGACAAACAACTAACTTGCTTTTTACCACGCAGAGCAAGGATTCTGGAAGGCTTGTTAGGTACAGTCATAATGCCGGTCTCATTTACGTTGTAGATATCATTGGGTGATAAATTCTGTTGCGAAGATTCAAGCAAATCAAAAAATTTCTTTACTGCTGCTTCTGCAGCTGCTTTCGAATCAATACTTTTTCTCGAGTTTCTTTTACTTTGCGCTCCAAATTAGTTTGTGGAATAGCGTACAGCTTCGATGCTTTTCTGTAACCCATGTTGCCTTCTAATTCTTCTTGAATCGCGGCCATAATACTTTCCTTTGACCAACTACGTCTGTCGTTTTTTCTTGTATAACGACCCATGTTGAAATCTTAAAAAAAAACATAATTATTTAGATAATTCAATGCATAAATGCTTACCCTAGTAATTTTTGTATAGACTTAGACTTTTTTCAATAATACCTTTTTTTTAAGCCCTTTTCTCTATTCGTATTGCCGAATATAGGCCTGTCCTAATTCTCGCCATTCATCTGTTATTTTTAATACGTTTCCACATAATACCTTTATATTTAAATAATTTGTCAAAAGCAGTTCTACCTAGGTACCTAGTAAAATTACTTAATCGGCATTAAAATATTCCATAGGTTAAAATGGGGACGTCCCCGTTTGAGCTACCCTTACCGTCCCCATTTGACCCGTTAATGACTTAATTAAAAAAATATGGCGTATCGAAGCTAAAATAGTAAGATTTTTAAATGAGTATTATGTGAAAATGTAGCTTAAACACAGCGAAAACAAAGGTCTATTCGCCGAAATTGATTATTTCAATGTACCTTGCTAACACCAACCAACAGTACAGGTTGAAATCGTAAACAAATCACAAAAATCTTGGATCGACTTTAGACAAAACAAACATAAGCTCACACCTAGACTACTTATTGCAAACTGGTCAGTAGGCAACTAAGAACACCCACGCTTAGTTCGGCGCTCAATTCCCCACTCTATTACTGAAATTTTGAATATTCCCATATTACCCTGCGTCCCCGTTTTAGGCGATTCTCCCCTATAAGGGCGAGCGCCCACCAAAGTGGCGTGGCAAGTAGCACGTAGCAAGTAGCACGCGTCTAGCATGTTTCTTAAAATGTAACCAATGAAAACGAATGATTCAGCGCACACCAAAATGACAGTGACGTCATTCATTCTAATCATTCGTTTTCATTGGTTACATTTTAAGAAACATGCTAGACGCGTGCTACTTGCTACGTGCTACTTCCACGCCAGTTTGGTGGGCGCTCTCCCTAAGGTGGCTCCATTGAACTATTTAGAGCAGTAACATCCTAGATGCGTATTTCCGTGATGATTGCCAACCTTCTTAGAGGAAATGGCACATGAAAAATAATATAAGAGATACACAAAAGATCTTTTAAGTCAGTGTGGCGATCAATAGGCCCCACGACTACTTTGAAATATATGAACAGGAACAAAGTTAAGACAATCAAGGATAGTCTAAAGCTAAAAATCAATTAAATATCTTATATTGTATATATAGTATAAATTGCTGAGTAGTATTCAATCAGATAAATTAAACTATTTTTTGACAGCCCTCACAACAGCTATTTTACCAATGTTTACATTTCCCCAACTTAGTTTTGTTTTTATAACCTTTGCAAGCTTAATAGTATAGAATTAAACATATAAGAGATATTAGCTATATTTTTAGCAAGCGAATCTATAAAATAATATTTTAAATGTGTTTTAGCGCTTGGCTGAAAGGAGCATTCATCTTAGTTTTTCTTCTTGGTTTGACCTGGACCTTCGGATTCTTATACCTGAACAAGGAGTCAGTAGCCATGGCGTACATCTTTGCAATATTAAATTCCTTACAAGGATTCTTTATTTTCTTATTTCATTGTATACAGAACGAGAAGGTAAGATGTTGTGTGTACAAAGAACGATCTACTCTGTTGTAATTTTTGTTTGTATCGATAATTTAAGGAGTTAAACATGTTTTTGATTACGCAGAGTATGTTCAAATGATATTTTTAAATTCTTTACATGCTCCAGTGAATTAATATTGTTACTAATTGAAGGGAATGCAATTCTCTTTGTCCATTGGAACAGAAATTGTAAACTACAGAATTAATTTATAGGAACTGTTTTGTTTAGTTTTGGCATTTAATAATAATGTACAAAATAGGAATGTGCATAGGACAATCAAATAATTGGATTAATAAATGAAACAAAATTATGTTACAAGAACATTTAAATCAATCGTTTTTCCAGTTTGTAATTTGTTTAACCATTAAATAGTTATAAAATATTCAGTATTTAAACAAAACTAATGTTAACTTTCTAAATTATCGTTTAAACTTCGATAAACATAAGATACACCGATAATAGTTACTGTTAATATTTACTAAAAAAAAACTACAACTTATCAATTACATTTTAGTAATTTCAGTGATTTTAAAACTGTTTTTAAGATATGGGTCTATGATTAAAGTTCTTTTTACATATAGTTTTTGACATTGCAGTAAGCTAGAATTATTATAAAAACTTTCCTTGCAGAATTTCAGTAATTTATATTTGGTTTTATGTCTCATAATGTAATTCGAATATTCTAATTAATTTTTTAAGTTTTTACTGTGCACATTATTTCTTTATCTTTGAGTTTTTGGATTTGTACTCTGGTATTTGATATTCCAAGACTACTACATATAAAAATATGGAGAATATCTAGCAATGGAGTGATATGTGTTTCAATTTTATATTCAAATATGTGTTTTGAATAATTTGGACAATTGCTCTTGAAAGTTCTTCTTGTTTTGTGAATTCTTGATTTTGTTTCATAGGAATGATACTACTGTTCATTTTGTTCATTTAATACTGTGCCAAGGTATCATGAATGTTGACACTCCACACAGTTGACTAGTTTAAGCCACAGCAGGTATAGGGTTCTCTAAAATATTTACTGTATTTAATCGGAATTAACCACAAGTTTTATTGAAAATACGTTTATTTTGACGTTTCGATTTCCAATTTGGGAAACAAATTTTTTTTCATATAAAATTGTGGTTAATAACAGTCTTCTTGCTACTTACAACTCTGTATGTACAAGTTAGGAATCATAAGTAGGGAGAAAACGAATATGGTGGATAGGTCTGAGGCGGAGGTTCACTGTCACAGCTATCTGAGAGATACCTTACGACAAGGCATAAAATACGTCTTTTTTGCCAGTAGGTAGGATATAAAAAACACTTTACTGAAACCAGCTCAAGAAAGTTTGATACAACATAGGTCAGAGGCTAAAAAACAGTGGATGACAGAAGAAATACTACTACAGGTGGAAGAAAGAAGGACATTTAAAGGAAAAGATCTACAGAAGTATAAAGGAATATAACGAATAATTAAGGAAAAAATCAAAACAGCCAAGGAAATCTATTTGATAAAACAATGTAAAGAGATAGAAGGACTAGAAACAAAATATGATATGAGAAATATGCACAAAAAAATAAGGGAAGTGACTGGAAAGGGTCGAAATAGACAGCAAGGTCATAAAAGACAAAAAAGGAGTACTACTAATCGATTTACCAGAGAAATTAAGACGATGGGAGGAGTACGTTAGAGAACTTTTTCAAGATGAAAGAGGTGAAATGCAGAAAATACAAGAATTAAATCCTTTAGAGAGACAGAAGATCACGATAGATGAAATCAAATATGCTATCAAAAACTCTAAAGACAATAAGGCAGTTGGATTAGATGAAATGCCAGTAGAACTGTTAAAACTGGTGGAAGAGGATAACTTGGGAGTATTGGCAGATTTATTGAATACGGTGTACAATACGGGAATAATACCACAAGAGTGGCTGAAGTCAGCATTTATAACCATTCCTAAAAAACAAGCAGCAAAAGAGTGCTCTGATTATCGAACACTGAGCCTCATGAGTCATACTTTAAAAGTACTGCTGAAAGTAATACATAAGAGAATATACGAAAGGCTAGAGGAGGATATTAGCGAGACCCATTTCGGGTTCTGAAATGGAATGGGTACTCGAGAAGGACTATTTGCCATCAACATATTGATTCAGCGATGTCGGGATCTAAACGTTGATCTACACTTGTGCTTCGTTGACTACGAAAAAGCTTTCGATAAAGTAAGACATGAAAAACTAATATCAATACTTATGAGCAAGCGCATTGACAGTAAAATCATAAATATAGTGCAAACATTATATTGGAATCAAAGTGCCATAGTTCAAATTGATGGGCAACACTTAGAAGAAATAAAGATCTGTAGAGGAGTTAGACAGGGATGTGTTTTATCGCCACTTTTGTTTAAATTATATTCTGAAGAAATTTTTCAAAACACGCTCAATAATATCGAAGCAAAAGTCACGTTGAAAATTAATTAAAGAATCTACGTGATTGGTATCAATGCAGATCGATTGATTTGTTTAGAGCAGCAAGTTCTAAAATAAAAATAGCCATTATGATTGCCAACCTCCGTAGGGAGACGGCACTTTAAGAAGAAGAAAGAAGAAATTTGGACAAGAGTATGTGGAAGAGTTCAAAATACATAACGACAGGCATCTAACCGAAAGGTAGTGTATGATCGAGTATCCGAGACACCAGTATATAAGAAGAAAACATCTAGCTTCGAAAAAGTGGATTTATTTATTGAAATATGAGGAACCCCTAGCTTACCCCCATCATATCACTCCATTTTCCTAATTCCAAACTTAAAATAAATATTTTCTTTATATTTATTGATGGTCTAGATCCTCGGAAATGTGTGTTATTATTGATTCTGACATCCTCCACATTCACGAACCCTAAATTCTTCTAACTTACTGACAAAAATGAAATGTATATCACGCTTTAGGGGTAGATATCCTGCGGATAGCTCTACATGTGAACGTCCATCTCACACCTATCTACTACATCCGTTTTCTCCCTATTTACCATTCCCAAGTCATGCACGCGGAGTTTTAATAATCTCAACTTCATATTTCTCACCAATTTTAACTACTTTGTTCACTAAATCTTTGTCCAGTGTTGGCAAAAAGGACGGTGTCATCAGCATATCTACAATTGGGATGTAGAAGTATTCTTGCTTCCATATATTGTAGGGATTTTATAGTAAGGCTTCTGTATACGTGATGAATATTTTTTTGAACCTATTCTCTATCCTTCCATTGTTGGATATAGGTCTCCCCCAGTTCTCTCCATCTTTCCTTATCTTGAGCTGTTCTCTGCCATGTGGGACCTCCTTGTTTCCTGATGTCATCTTTCCACCTCATCTGTGGTCTGCCTCTTGATCTCTTTGCATTGTATGGACGCCACTTTCCGATGGCATTGTTCCATCGTCCGTCTTGGAGACGTTCATTGTGTCCAGCCCATTTCCATTTCAGTTTTGCTGCTTGTTCTATCGCGTCTACTGTCTTTGTTCTGGTTCTGATCCACTGGTTACGTTTTCTATCTCTAAGTGATACACCCAACATTTGTCTCTTCATCGCTCTCTGTGCCTTACTTATCCTATCCAAATTGGCCTGTGTAAATTTCCATGTCTGTGCTCCGTAGGTGAGCACCGGTATTATGCAGGAGTTATATACGTTGCTTCGTAAGTTTGATTGTTTGATTGGAATTGTTTGATTGTTTGATTTTTTAGAACGTAAGAAAGTTTGCCGAACGCTGCCCATCCCATTCTTACTCGTCTCGATATTTCGGCTGTTTGATTTTCTCTGTTAGCTCTGATTGCTTGTCCTAGATAGATATACTCATTTACCTCTTCTATTTTTTTCTGTTTTTATTTTTATTGCCTCTTGGTCTTCCGTGTTTATCATTACTCATTACATTACCACATTTGTGATGAATATAAGAAATGAAAATATGATCCATGCGGAACTCGTAGAATTTTCACCTCATGTGTTCTCTCATGGTTGACTATAGCTGAAGTAGACCTTTTTTGATTATGCGTAAGTCTTTGCCGTCAATTTCATTATCTAGTAGGACTTCCACCATGTTGTGTAGAATTTTGTCAAATGTTTTTTGACCTTTTTTTTTTGGACTTATAGGTCGTGATCTGGCATTATTTCTTCTTAACGTTTCATCTGCAACCACAGCAGAAGTTATCAAAAGCGATGTTCCGCTTTTTACATAAACACTGAGTTAAAATTACAGCTTTAAACTAAAGAGATATTAAAAATCTCTTTTGAGGTAGTTGATAAAGAAAATAATATTTCTGTAAGTTTGGAACCCTTATCTTAAGAAGTTGCAACAGGAAAATACTGTTTGTTATCTTGTTAACAACTGTTTTATGAAGAAGGCAACAGTTTAGGTTTTAATAAGTATCCAAATAATAAAATATTTATTAAAATATATTGTAGAATATATTGCTATTATTTAAAAATCATTTTACACTATATTGCAGTATTTAAAATAAATAAGTCATGCGTAGTACTAATTGTAGTAAGCAACTGTACATAAAAATGTAAAAAAAAGTTTCAATAAATAACTTGAATGAAATATTTTGTAGACTTCTTTAAAATTTTCAATGAGTTGCATAAGTGAAATAAAAAGCGTTATCTAAAAGTGCGTTAACTTTTTAAATTTACTTCAATGTACTGCTTTTAAATTATTTCAAAAGTTTCTAAATGGTATATTAAGTAAATTCTCTAAATTAATGCAATAAATGCTTATTATTTTCACTGTGTTGTGTTAGATATGAGTTAGATTGCGTAGAACTGTTAGGTATATACGTTTTAATTGGGAAAGTGTACATAATTAATGTGTTAATTATCAATACAGTTGTTCCTAATTGATTTAATTAATATATTAGTAATACAATTAAAAATAATGAAATATCTAACACTTCACTTTCCGATTTTGATTTGAACTAGCACCGTATTTCATTATTTTGCTTACTTGCTCCCTTTTAAGTTACTTTTAAGTTAATTTGCCGCACTGTTTTGATTTGGTTTTCTTCTCAGGTGCGGAAGGAATATCGCAAAATAATAAGAAGACACTCCTGGTTACCGCAATGTCTGCGTTGCTCTAGCCCGAGCGGAGGATCGGGAAGCACCAGCGGCAGTTCCGGGATGGCGAAAGAGCGGCGAACCAGCCTATACGGTGGTTCCAATGGGAACCCTTCGGCTGGTACCAACTCCCATTCCACTGACAACTCTGTTCTTACACAACACGGAACTAGTGTGGGTACCAGTGTAGTCAATAACCTTAATAACACGCGTCCTACTGCACTAGTCCAGATTGTCCCTAGAACTGATCTCAACAATGCTAGTACCACCACGACGAGCCATAAGAGGCTGCATAATGTCTCGCAACAAGGTACTATTATCTGAGAAATGCTTACCAAGTGCAGCTCGTTATGTCTCATGTTAATATAATGTAACTTGTACAAAGGTGGCGTCCTTTAAATGCCGTCTCTTAATGCCATCAAAACTTCTTTAAACTGTCGTTTTGAGTTAATATAGAAAAAACGAAAAGTCATTATACATTATGGACTCTTATTTAAAATGATCATTTCATACATAATTTTTGATGGTGTAAAGAAATGGTACTGCAGAAAAATAAGCGTGTGGAAGCTTCATTTAAGCATATGTGTGGCATTATGTTCACGTTTTTGCCAATACTCCTCGTACCTTTTGTTAAATAAATAAAGATAATTGCTTTTTCCATGTACAGGATGATTTTTAATTTATTTTATAAATGCGGGAAATGTGCTTTGTCTTCCAAAAAGAAAAATTACTAAATTAATGTCAAAGTTAAGTGCCCGATCTGCTTAAAAATGGAACAAATCTTCCTGAATTCAGATTTTATCGCTCATTATGTCGTGAATTCGTTTCAGTAAAGGTCCAATTAACAAGTGTGTCGATTTATTGTAAAATATCCATTATGGCTATATAGTTTTTGATTACATGTGGCTTCGTTAATTCAGAAAATATGCTCTCGTGATTATCTGGACATAACCTAACTTTCATTGCAACTCAACTTGTGTTGCATTGTAAACCCACAAATTTAGTATCTGAATTGAAGTACATCAAAGAAAATTTAGTGGGGCCTATTTTAAGCCACATATATTGCAGTGAGATATGATTGACCGAAGATTAGATAGATAGAGTATACAGAGGGCGATTAAGTATGACTTCAGGCGAATTTTTGTTTTATTTCTTGACAAATTAAGTACTTGTCTCTTTTAAAATTATTCGATTCACTCATAAATAAGTAAAGTACGAGTTTAAAATGCGTCCCAAACTATTTTATGCATCATAAAACTTGCATTGATAATATCTCATAACGCAATTATTCAAAATGGCAGATGGACGCCATTTTAATGTTGTTAAATTATTTTGAATAGCATATTTCAAGTAATACCTCATTTAAAATCTGGTGGTATCACTCAAAATGATCCTAAATTTTTGTACCATTATGTCGTGGGCTTTCAAAATAGAGACCGTTCAACTGGCCAAAATGTAAATAAATTATGAACTAAAGTTCACCAAAAATAGCTGAAAGTCTGAAATTCTAACTGCCTGTGCGAACAATGAAGTGAGAAGAAAAAGATGTACGCGTGGGTGAACTTTAAATGTAGGTACAATCGGAGACACAAATAGAAAGAAACGTAAAGTTTGAATAGTTTCTAATAGGTTCCGTACACAATTGATATTACTGTCATTACATGTATTCAGTATATTTGTGGTATTTTTCTACAAAGTGAGATGTAAAAAAATAGATCCAACAAAAACCAATTGTGTTGCTATAAATTATGTCATTATAAACCAAAAATTATATTTTTAGTTTGACCATTTATACTTTATATTATAACCTAACAAGCGAGAGCTGGCGGGTTGTGCGTAGAACAAATTGAAAAGTGGAAGGGATTGCTCATTTCTATTGCAGTCGTCTAGGAGTTCACATCATGTATAACCGTTTAAGTACCTATACTATATACCTATAATCGCGATTAAGTACCTCTCCTATCTCTCTTAGAATAATTTCTTTTCTATTTTTGCGCAGCTCACCCGCCAGCACTCGCTTGTCGGATTATACCATTATATTGACCAAAAGGTTTCGGAGAAAAAGGGCGTAAGCAGTAGGGTAATAAAGTAGTAATAAAATCGTCTAATGCAATATACTGTGTTCATTTAATTCATTCTCATTAGTTCATTCTCCTATATTTTCTTTTTCTTCCTCCACTTCTTCTTCAGTACTGGACTCTGGGTATGTGTGAGAAGAAATTTCTTGAAGTCCATGTTCTTTCAAAAGTTTTCTAAAACAAATAAAAATAGTATTAAGTATTATAGGGCTGCAGAGAATTCATTTTCATATTTGCAAGTAAAAAATGTTAATTTTTTATGCAAAGTGAATATGAATGTTAACAATATTAAGTACATCCTTTACCTTTTTTACTTGCAAACAATTATTCTAAGAATATAAATAAATTACCTTCTTTGTAGAAAGTTAATCGAGCAAGTTTCACTAAATATTTGAAATTCAGGATCTTTACCTGAGTCGTAATCACCGTAGCTCTCAGAAATGTCACTGTTAACATCAAAAAAGCTATTTAGATTTGTACAACCTGCTTTATCTTCCGCCATCATGGACACATAACATTATTTTCATGCTTATGCATGTCTGTTACCAAATTTTAAGAAATTAATCTGGCGCCATCTATTATTCGGAGGATAAAATAAGTCAAGTTTTCTGCGTTGCCATGTCCCTTGCCATCTTTTACATAATATTTCGGGAAAAATCAAAATTTGTCCTTTACCATTGTTTACTACCGAGACCCTCAAATATATAAAGTTTATATATTTAAAATCGACCGACTAGATCCGGATATTATTGTTTTTTTAGAAAAACTACGTTTTTAAAACTGACTGAGAGTTAATCCCGGGCTTAGTCCGTCGATTTTAATAAATCTTGATGCATTTTGTTATTTTGGTTTTCTCTATGATAGTTAACCACTACTTGACAAAAAAAGATAATAAAACTTTTGTGACTAAAATTAGTCGAAAAAAGCACCAAATATCCAAATGTGTGTTTTTTTAAGAACACTATCGCGTAAGGGCACAATAAATTGCCGTTTTTGTAAACGTTAAAACTTATTTCCAGAGAATAAATAACTCATTTTTGTTTCTAGAAACGTTCTTAGTGGCAAAAGCTTTCAAATTACGTATCACGTGCCATGTCATAATTTGACTGTCAATGAAGGAATAATTCTTGACGTAAGCATGTCAATAGAAATAAATAAATTCGGCCAGGATGTGAGAAAGTGAAAAAATAAATCGACCTGTTCGACATTTTTCCATAAAAGTTGAAGGCTACCAAATTATTAGGGATAGTACATATTTTTTCCATACTGCGACAATTGAAATTTAAACAACGACAGAGAATCGTACAAAAATATAGGAAGAGAGCTGTTAAGTTAGGTATTACTTGTCATTCATAATAATTTTGCAAATTTACATTTGTTTGCCATTTTGAATAATTACGTCACTTAAACATAAAAACGGTGTACAAGTGCCTTAATTCAAATATTTAAAATCCACATAATTGGGAGCAAACTTAAGACGCTTACTATGTGTAAGAAAAAGTTTAATAGGTCCCTTAACACTAAAAAACTACACGATGCAAATACGGTAGACTATTTATTCAGTTTTGTTTTCGATCTCAACTATAAAGTTCCAGATTTTTTTTTGCCTTTTAACAAACTACTATTTAATATTTCGCCTTTATCCTGTATATTTTGCGTTTCTTGTTTCACACCATTTTATTGTGTTATGTATAATGTAAATATAAATACCGCAGTTTTTTCTGTAATTTTGTGCTATGAACTGGAAACGTCAAGCAACCTAGTACTCTTAAAGTGAAAACAAAATATTTTTCTCTCGTTACTGTTTGTTTAATAAAAAAATCACCTGTACAATATTTTGTAAGCATGGACCTTTTCTACTATTCTCGTCAATCTTAAACGTGTATAAAGTAGATAGTACTAATTAGACTAAAAGCACATGTCTAGAATTGATCGATTACATAGATTTTTCTATATATTTCAAAAAAGTAATCATAAAAATGCATTCTTACCAAATTTTTGTTATTTTAGTATATTTGGCAGTTTAAATAATTCAGAAATTTTCGGAAATTATCACTAATTTAAATAATACAATTTGTTTTGGGTTTCTAGGCTGTAGTATTAACATGTTTCGTTCTATACTGGGGCTAGTCAGATACTGGTAGAAGTGGAAGATAGACTCTTAAAGAGAAACATAATTATTTATCAAATTTCCACTTATAACGGTGACCATTTTCTCTCATCCAAAGAAGTTGAAGCCTAAAGTGGAAAATTTGACAAAGAATCCTACTTTTCTCTCCTCATCTGATATCTCTCCAGATTTCTATTATCATCTGATGGGTTCACAACATCTCTTGTGAACGAAGAAGAAACTTTTAGAGAGCAAATACGGAGATTCCTATATAAAACCATAACTTTAGTTGTATCACTGCTTATAGCAAATGCAACGAAATAACTAATATTTATAATAACGCACACCGATTTAAATAACAAAGTTTTGAAAGGCTGCTGAGCATTTTCTGGTTATTTACCTAAATTTTTCTGATCTACATAAGCCAATAACTGACAATATGCAAAGCAAATACTGACCAATCATGGGCTCTAGTTCGAATTGAGAATTTTGTCCTTTCAAGGAATAGTAAGTTGAAAACGAGTTTAAAAAAGATCTCCAGGTCCTAAGAGTCTTAGGGCTGCCGCCTTCCTAGATAATTGTCAGCAATTCGGTTGCCTTGTGACTCGTGACACTCCATTACTAACCCTGATGTGACACGTGGTCTGTTTAAGGTTAGTAGCGCTTATCTGCTATCTGTGCAGATCATTATAGTTTTCCCTGCTATATCTTTTTGGGTTATCTCTTTTTCAGTGATCTGGAGGTTTGCACCAGCTCTGCGCAGTCGCATCATTGTCAGTAACGCCACCTCTTTGACATATATATCTAGAGGCGTGATGGCAATGATTAACTCTATTGCAGCAGTTGGTGTTGTTTTCATGGCACCTGTTATATTTATGCAAGCCATCCGCTGAATATGGTTTAGTTTGTTTATCGCTGTTGCCTGTAGCACTTTTTGGTACCCAAGCAATAGCTCCATAAGTTAGCATTGTCCTAATGACAGCGGTGTAGACCCAGGCGATCACTCTGGGTGAAAGGCCCCAGGTCCGTCCAACTGTTGTATTTTAGAATTCTTGAGTGTATTAAGCCCATGATTTTTCTTTTCCTGTCAAAGAGGACCATCTATGTTTTCTTAGGATTTAT